TATTGTAAAAACAGTTCCTCATAAAAGAATCGTTTACCTCAACCGAAATCGTGGTACCATGAGTTTGGACTTAGTTCTAAGATTATGGGTATCTTCTTTCTTAATGAAATTATGTGGGCGTACAAAATATTTGAGTAAATGTACTGTATGCCGCAGTTACGATGCCAGTCTCCTTAAACTTCTCTTTGAGAGAAACCCGAGAACCTAAACGGTACACAAAATGAATCGTTCGATTTTGCAACACAAATATCTACCAGCGAAATTAATATTCCGTCTACAACGCAGGGCATGCTTTTACAAACAAATATCCTTTTAAATCACCCAACACCTGTTAACAAACTTAAAACATGTTTATCGGTTAACCTAAAGATAGAAAGCAAATATTGCCCGACCCTGCAAACGGTTGCCCTGGTTTTGGTAGCAATCTTTCAGCAAATACAAATTTGCGTGTTTAGGTGATAAAGTATCGTGATGTGGATATGAGAATGTAAAAACAAGGGTTCTTGTGCACCTTTTTATATTCTTTTTCACATTTCAAATTTTCACTTTTGACATTTCACATTTTTACGTTATGTGAGATTTACCTAGTAGACATATGTACAAATGAGACTCCAGTGACTGTTATAAATTATATTATAAGATCTTTCACTATAAATCCAAACAAAACAAAGCCACGTCTTTTCAAGCCAAAGATGTTTTTCATAATGGCGGTCGCCCGTTAGGGTTCCGTTTTTTCGATGATGACCATATCGTTTTATTTCGATAAAGCAAAGTAAGTTTTCTTACAAAATAAAATAAATTATAGTCACGATGCGCTAACAGTTACATGCATACTATTTTTAATTATTCTTACAATCAGGTTACAAAAAGAATGATTAAATTTGTTACAATATATCAAAAACAGACAATATTTGTTTCAATCGTAACATTAAGTAAAAATTACAGTGTATAAAGTAGATAGAACCTAAAATGACAGAGATAAAAATATTAATCCATAGAGATTTACACCATATAATCGATAAATCGGATTGGCTATTGGGAATCTCGCGATAATACTAGTGTAGGTATTAATCTTAAATGCGATTCGTTTTCTTTTGTTTTGAGCTTTGCGTGATGTTTTTGGACTAATTGTTCAAATTTCGTTTCGTTGTTGATTTTATGCTTTTTTGTTGACATTTTGTTTGGTTGATGTTGCTTTTTTAAATTGTTGTGTAGTTTTTTTAGTAACTGAATAACATAATAATTGAATGCTTTTTATTTTGTTTATTGTCTGTTCTTAAACTATACTTTCTAAATCAATTCTCTTCGTTATAGACTATTTCAATAAGATATTTAAATCGATGTTATTACATTCGATTTTACATCACTACATCTTTAGAAACTTCAAATCTCAAACATCACTGTACCCATTCGTATGAAATGTATTATAATAATGTTATTTAATAAACGTAAAAAAAAGTGTTACTCCCGTGACGTACTAGACATGGCAATATTCTTCAAGAGAAGCCAGAAATTTAAAAATTATCTTGTCGTAAGTTAAGATCCACCTTATTTTATAGTATTTTTCTTTTTTATTGTTATTCTTTTCAGTAACTACATAAATTCATCTTAAATTAATTTAAATATTGTTCCGGGTCCGAGACCTGGTGTCCCAAGACACAGGGTTTACCTACATACTTTGGGCACCAGTGTCCCGTTAAGTTCTCACTTGAATGTATTTTTAAAATTTTATGTGAATGGGAGAGAATAAAATGATGGTTATTATTATTAAGGACGACCACATAATATGGGCGCAACGCCATGATGGTTTATTTGTCTTTGGTGACTGAAAACAACAAAATGGCCTCTATGAACTATCAAAAATCTACCCGTCCTTAATGGAAAGCCCTTTATAAGTTAGTAGTGGTAATTGATACATAAATGACGCGTCTTGATGATTCATATTATCGATTGATAAACGAGTCATTTGTTCCTTTAATGGCTTACGTATTACTATTAAACAATATAGTGATTACTGTATCAGTATTCATCTTAATGGTATGATCGTATTAGGCAGGTACGAGGGGCGGCTTTCAATTAAACCTTTAATTGGTACCCTTGGATAATAAAGCCCCATCAAAAGTGCTTTTATCACTTGAAAGTTCTAGTAGCAGTAGAGCTCCTTGTGGAAGAGTTCGTCCAGGGAAGTACTGCCACCTTTCCTATTTCTGCCGCCAAGCAGTAGTGTGCGCATTACTGCGTTCCGATTTTTGAAATCTACAGACACATGGGACTTGTCAACTTCATGTCTCAGGGTGAGCAGTGCAGTTGCAGTATGCGTTCTTATAGTAAACTTCATATAGTTGAATTTAGTGTATTCTTGACCCGGTACTACGTAATGCTGGATATTCCGTATTGGTAATTCCTTGGCTTCATATTCAGAATGATATTGGCTAAGAAAAAAGCTGCTTTCAACTGCAAAACAATTAAAAATATAAATATCAAACTTAGAACATACTTAAGCCACAAACATACCCAACAGAGCGTGACATGACCGAGATAGTTCAACAAATATGTAAGGATCGCGATGATTGGTCGGCAACTGGTCCGAGAATCCTAACTACACATACCGTTTCAAATTAACGGTTACGCACTAATGCTAGTAAAATTGCAAATGGACTTTGTCAAAGAGCTGATTGTTGTCGATAGAATACAATAATTTATTTCATATTCTTGTTATAATTATTAAAATACGAAGGATAATATGACTGTCACTAATGTACACAATTATAATTAATATAAAACAAAATAGTATAACTAAAAATAAACGAAAAATATTGTCGCAATACAACAACATCAATTAAGAATAAAATTACAATTTCTCTGAAAAAAAAACAATGATCACTTTGGAGAGGATTTTAGCTAACAACTTTATATCAGTGTTTATTGATAATATTAATTAAGAAGAGTAATGTGTGTTCGAGGATGTGTGCGTGTACGAAGAACCACACACGCGTGGTCCTTGCTAACCTACTTCAACAAATGAGGAGGATTTTTTTGTGTATGTTACTCCAACCACGTAGATTGCTTAATAGTTACTACTTAACAGATACATCACTCTCGTACAAAATCGAAAGTACCTACGCTATTATGGCCTACAAAATCTGACTAATGAAATCAGCTCGCGCTCAGAGAGGTTAAAATAACGTTGCAGTCGTGAATGGAAGACTTGTATGTGCGTTTGTGCCGACGTCGGTACACACAACGGTAGGGACTTCATCGCGTAATTTTGAGCGAGTGATGGAGCCCTGCTCCTACATTAATTGTGAACTGATTTCGATAAGTCTTATTGATAAGGGGTTACGTCAGTATTGATCCCATTTAAGTTTAAAGAAGATATTGCAACTTTAAGAGTGGCAAATTGGAAGATGGATCCAGTGTATTGAATTTCACCACTTTCCATTAATCGATTTTAATAAAACTTGGCATATAGATGTAATTCCAATGAGAGTAGAATTTAGGCCCGGCGCCCACTGACTAGACGGGATGTCAAGGGATTTTAAGTGACGAATAGTTATATACCTTAAGAATATGACATTATAGTTGCAATTTCAATGATAATGATCATGGCTTAATATTAAAGCTGCGGGACGCTTTGGCAGCCTTTGGGATGCTTCGGAAAGCCGTTTGCGACTATGCACCCGCATATGCGGGGCGAAGGGAGGCACGCACGGCACGACTGGTCTGAAGAGAGACCAGATCAGACTTTACAGTGATATGTTTCACACAAAGTGTTTTTTGTGTGGTTGTTGTAAAATAATGTAATTAATTACATTTGTTGTATTTCAGAAGTGCACTTCAAGCTAATAATTGAAACCCTGTATCGCGGGTGTCATAGACGATCACAAATTACATCCAGACTCACGGGAGAAATAAATGTAGGCCATACAAATATTTCTCCCGGCCCGGGAATCAAACCTGGGACCTTTACGTGTCAGTCGGGCATAGTCGGGTGCGACTTTCATTTCGTTTATTTTTGGTAAAGTTTTTAGAGAGTAAATCAAGTCATTGTAGATCTTTGGCTGTAGATGTTCTATAAATATTCTTTATTTCCGGTTTGTCTATATGTGAATTCAAGGTATTACCCAGATTTATCAAAATATCGCACAGTTCTTGTTTATTTTCATCCTTCTTTCTCGATATATTACGTATTTCAATGTTGGTAGATTAGTATTTTCTTTCAAAGTTTTTTATTCTGTCCTCCAACATCGGTATGAATTATAAGAAGTAAAGTATATATTGCCAACGCTATAATCCCACATGGTACGTACTGTTGGTTATGTTAGTGTCTTCAGTCCATTGTTATCTATCATAGTTTTGATAATATACTTTGTTTTAAATGTCTAATCGTGAGAGGGTTTTCTTGTGTTGCTATTTGGTGTAGTAGCTAAGGCAAAGTGGATAGAGTTCAGAGATGTCGCGTCTTCGAATTCTGTTAAGACATACATATATCATCAAGACTGTCTCTCACCGGGATAAGCAGAGACTATACACCTCAATCTGCTACGCTCCTGGCAAACCTCTTTCGCTTCCTCCACTCCCATCAGTTTTTTTAAAATAAATAATAGACACACGCTGGGCCACATTCGATATCCGATCTCATTCGATTCGATGAAGGAGATATGCATACTACTTTCTTCTTTTTCGCCCTTTTGCATCCTGAATAATAATTTATGAGAAGATATTATAAGAAGTGTTAGTATAAAACCTTTTGACGTTATGGAATTGGTCTCTAATAGTTGTGTACAATTTTATTTATAATAGCGGTAAAAGTAAACCCTGTCGGCATTTCCTATAAAACATTTATACGCCTTTTACGAAAGAATAAGGCGAATTGAAATTTTCTAATTTCCCTTTCGCGAAAGGTCATTGTCGACAATAAAGAGCGATACCTTTCTTTGTCGTTTACCTTTCTCTGTGCAGCACCGTAGCTCCTGGTTTTGTAAACCGTGGGTTTTCTCAGCCGCGTCATTCGTTCGTCGGCCGCCGGCGCGTACGCAGCGTTCGCGCGCGCCTTTTAAAATTTTTAATTCGTTTCGCTATCTTTTTTCTTTAATCCTTAATTGCGCGTTTGTGAGATAAACCTATTTTGAAATTATAATAGTCCGCCGGTGTTGCTCTAGTCACTAGAGTCTAGTGTTTTTTTAGACAATTAATACAGTTTTTCCATGGATTTTTTCAAGTGTAGTTTAACAAGTGATTCTTTGAAGTTTATCTATAGTGATAGCTGACTTCAATATGCAATGATAAAACCGATTTCTTTTTGTAAATATATATTTTATGCCATAAACTGAATTACGATTTCGTTTCCTGATCTTTACGAAATCGGTAAATAATTGTCTGACATGTTATTATAATTACCAAGCTATGAGAACATATCCATCAATAAATTTATACTCAACAGTGCGCAGTGACATAGATCTTAAACAATGCGTCGGCAAAAGTTAATAGTCGACCCCGATCTAGGAGATCTGGAAGAGATGTTAGCTAACGTACAATCGCAACTGGAAAACGAAATCGACGAATCGAAAATGCCGTCAATAACAAATATTCAGGAGTCACCAAGAATGGTAAAGAGAACTTCTTCATTCAACAAGTGCAATACGCTGGAGTTCAACCGCCGACCGGCGCCCAGACCCCCTTTGAGCAGAATATACAGCGAGGTCAATTCCGGAAGTCAGAGTTTGGAATACCGTAATGGAGATTACAGAGATCTGTCCCAAGCTAATGGGAAATTGAGGGGCTCACAATCGAGTTTGAAAGATGAGATGGGGTCACAGAGTTCATTTCAATCGTTCAGATCGGAGCCGGCGCAGCGGCTGTCGATCTTGAGTTTGCCTGATTCGAGGAGTTCGAAGTCTCTGAATGGAAGAGGGAAGACTGCGACTCTGCCGAGGGGTTATGGTGCCAGTAAGAAGGAGTGGGAGGAATACTGGGCTCAGTAAGTACCTAGATATAAGAGTTTCTTTTTTTACAGAAGACACCTGTACTTTATGCGTAAGATTTAAACTTTATGTCACTTACGATAAGAATGCTCCAAAATGGTAGAAGTTATGCGTGGTATTTGGCTGCTTTTCTAATAATAATCACAGTGCAGAGTACTAAAGTCGACCCCAAAGACTCGTGGAATTACATCTATTTGCCAGGTTTTTGAAATCTGTTACCGGAAAGTGCGCGAAACCGGAATCGTCCCCTAGTTGTCAGCCTTAGAGGTGGAATATTTTATTGAAATTTAAATGGGACCCTAGCTATCCTCTTTTCAACAAAAAAGAAATCATCAAAATCGGTTCACAAATGCCAGAGTTATCGCGTATCATACATACATACATACATACATACATATAATCTAATTAAGAACCTCCTCCTTTTTTTAGTTGATTAAATAAAATAGAATAATAATAAATATTCGAGAACATGACGTTGATCCGATCCCAAAGTAAGTAGCTAAAGCACTTGTGTTATGGAAATCGGAAACAACGACGGTATCACAAACACCCAGACCCGAGACAATATAGAAAAATTGGTTTTTCTACTTAGACCCGGCCGGGGATCGAGTCTGGGACCTTAGTGATGGCGACACCAAGAAAACCGGTGTACAAACCACTCGACCGAAATAGTATTAGTATTATAATCGGAATGTGCGAAATTTCATTATCATACCAAATTTTCCATTGGATAAAATAAACAACGTTGGGCCGATTCTTTTAAATTATCTTCCAGACCAATTAGGTGTTTTTCAGACAGGTCTTTATTATAGAAAACCATCGATTTGTCAGACGTGTTTATTATCCAACTCTAAACAGAAGTTCACAATTCGACTGTATATTTTTATGTGTGTATATTACACGATTACTACTCCTACTTTTGTCAACCTATTTCGATGATTCTTTTTTTTGTTAGAAAGGGATTATCAGTGTTCCTATTCAAATGTAGTGTTCCTATTCAAATTCAGGGAGACAAATTACAACTTTTTGTGAATCGTTTCAAAATAAAACTTAGCTATTACAACAGTGTTGTATTAATTAAATCTAGTAGTCTTAAGTAGGTCTTTCAACGACTAAAAAGTCGTTGAAAGACCAAGTACAAAGACACGACGCAAGCACATAGAAAAATTCGTGAGGTCCGTTGGTTCGTTCCGTTGCTTAGTTGGTATAGCGTCTGACACGGTATGCAAGAAGACGTCGGTTCGAATCCGACCGGATCGAAGGAATTTTTTCTGAGTGTTCAATCTTTGTATTCATAATTATAACAGTGTTGTAACTCAAAATTGTGGAATTAACAAAAGACAATTTGAAAATTTAAGAATAAAATACTAAATGGATCTTTTTGCAAATAATGAGATTATTTTTATTCATACATAGTACTTAATCATCCATTTATACCAGAATTTACATATATATTGATTTCATTTAGTATTTTTATTTTCAAATCGTGTTTTCACAATTCCAGGAACTTTTATATTATTACCAGGTCATTTTTTTTTTCATAAATACCTTAATAATATTATTGTCCCTGTACTTTGAGGAAACCCGTGCGCAAAAGTTGAGTGTTATGTGGGTTAATTTCGGTACATAACTGTAAACATACACGTGTGTCATCAGTCCTTGGAAGGAAAACCGTGGTCAACATTGTTTGATTGTATTATTTCCCCAATTCCCCACACGTAACAATACTCAAACCCCCAAATGAGTTGTTTTACAACTCCATTCCCCACAAAATCTCCAATCAAATTTGTGATTCCCCAGATATTTTCTTAAGTAGCCTAAAATCGCCTTTTCCTATCTCACACATAGGCTAAATATCGCCGAGTCGCCGATCACGTTTTTAGTCGCGCGACCCGTCGAAGTATCCTGAATAGCGAAAAATCGACTAATCTAATATATAAATCTAAGTGACAAAATATATTTTTTAAATATCATAAAAAACCATAACCCGGTTTTAGAAAATTGAAATTGTTTAATGATATTTCACTTATGCATCGTTAGGGTAAGCTCCGATAAGCCGAACACGTTAACTAATTTTAACTGTAAGAAATGAAACTATTTTTCCGGATTTAAATCGCGTATCTTTGTTTTTTCAAATAAACCGACGTTTCGGGCCCTTTACAGGTAAACCTGCACCTGTACAGGGCCCGAAACATTTAAATCCGGAAAAATACTTTCATTTCCTATGTGTAACAATCGCGAAAACCTAAGAACTCGACAATTTTAACTGTTTTTAAAAAATAATTTTGTACTCTATCGTTTGCTATTTAAAATGGATGTTTGATCATTTGTCGCTTAACCGCGTTTTAGTTAGTGTTACGAAAATTAAATCTTAGAATTAGGATCCCCTCCAGTAAGGATTTGTAAAACATGCCATCTACTCGGAACCAAATAGTAGATTAGAGGGTCTAGAGGTATCTTAGTGCATAGAATTTGTTTTTACTGATACCACACATGTCACGAACAAGTCGTGTGCACCGGTCCATATCACTTGCAGTTCTACTCAGAGCTTTAAATCCTGATCTGAGGGGCACTGCCACCGCGCCCGTCGCCCTGACACATAAATTGACAAGTCCCTGTAATTTCGTGCATCCAATTCTAGATTGTACAGTCTAGAAAACTCGTACCTACTTCAGATGTCGCTTGTTCACTATTTCCGATTTGAATTCAAGAAAATACGATAAAATGATCCCTGTGACATTTCGGATCGTCATTCGGAATTTGTACGAATGGAACATATTGGGCAAACGCTCTTATCCTACAAAACCGGAACGCACTAATGCTCGCATTACCGCTTGGCGGCTGAAATAGGTAAGATAGAAGTACTTTCCTGGACGATCTTTTTCACAAGGCGCTCTACTGCTACTAAATTATAACTAGAGAGATTTTTAGAGCTCCTTGTGAAAGAGTTCGTCCAGGGTAGTACTGCCAGTTTACCTATTTCTGCCGCCAAGCAGTAATGTTAGCATTACTGTGTTCCGGTTTTGAACTTATGTCTCACCCTGACGGGCGCAGTAGTAGTGCCCCTCAAATCTTCGCAATTTAAAGCTCTGAGTGGCATTGCAACTGTTATGGACAGGCGTGTAGCTTACCATCACGCGCACGACATGTTTGTTATTAAAAAGAAGTGTTGTGTTGGGTGCCAAAATATGTGTACATAAATCTGTAATTCCGTATAGACGCTTTGTAGGACGTCTTAAATAACACGAATGAAACTTTTAACAATTGAAAACCATTCCTTCAAAAAAAGAAATAAATATCTCAATTTTTTTACATCGTCTCGGTTTTCACTAAACAATGCACTTTAAACTGCTCAGTGATTGTAACAAAAGGAGAGAACAAGAAATAATTAACAAAAAGTAACGGTCCGTCGCCATTGTTATTTCTACTAAGATGCATTGAAAATGACCACACCGCAGTTTGTAAAAGAGATTTAAAAAGAGTGAAAGTTCTGTACAAAAAGACACTTTAAAATTATAAGCCTAGATGATAAATTAGAGGATCTGTAGCAACAGTAGAGCTCCTTGTAAAAGAGTACGTCCAGGGAAGTACTGCCACCTTACCTATTTCTGCCGTCACGCAGTAATGTGAGCATTACCTCGACGATCTCTTTCACAAAGACCTCTACTGTAGTCGGGTCAATGTAGAAAAACCAACTTTTCTATATTGTCTCGGGTCTGGGTGTTTGTGGTACCGTCGTTGTTTCCGATTTCCATAACACAAATGCTTTAATTATTAATACAAAGATCGAATACTCAAAAAATATTCTTACGATCCGGCCGGATTCGAACCGACATCTTCTAGCGTACCGTGCCAGACGTTATACCAACTAAGCAACGGAACGACCGGACCTCACGAATTTGTCAAAGTGCTTGTTGTCGTGTCTTTGTATTTGTTTTTTCAACGCGTATAGTGTTATAGCGTCTGGCATGGTATGCTAGAAGACGTCGGTTCGAACCCGGAATTTCTTCTGCGTGTTCGATCTTTGTATTAATAATTATAACAAACCAGTCATTGACTTACAAATAAATGGACGACGGGTCTAATACACAAACCACGAAAAAAATGTTCCAAGTCAACCTATTTAAACGTAGTGACATGTAAAGGAATATGAAAAAGCTAAAACGTTGAATTTAAATTGTAATGTCATCGCAGTACTGTCTAAATTTGCTTGCTTCGCTGTCAGTCGAACAAACGAAGACTAAAGCGTGAATGACGCTCTGTATACGATTTTAACGCCCTATAAGTTCGGACACTTTTTAGCGCGGACCCGACGTCCATATAATTGTAAGTCAATGAAACCAGTAATTTCACAAAAAATAATTGAATATCAATTCAATAAAAATTTAAAATACTAATGCTTTAGTTACTTACTTTGGGATCGGAGCAACGTATGTGATATTGTATTCCACAACGGATCTACATATTTGTCATAAATTTATTTCAGTATTCGGAATTTCGATGCGAGATTCCAATAATTCTTTCACTTCCTTGAATGACTCATATATACGTATCATGTTATTTAAGTAACTTATTTTTAATTAAGATTTTCGAGAATCATTTGTCATTTAAGTCTAAATAGGGACTATAATAACGCCGAAATCACTTCCTGTTCTTAATCTCAAATAGATTTCGCATATCTGAACATATCGGCCTTGATAACGTTTTAGCTGTGATTGGACAATTTTCAAACAGATATATAAATAAAAATTCGCGAGTTTTATTTATTTTCTTTGTTGTTAATGGATACAATTACTTGTAGGGCTGGTACGACAGGGCGCGACTTGTGCGAGAGGGACATAAAGTGCGTGATCTCTGTTCGAAAACATAAGTATCTCGCGCTTTTTGTCGCTATCCCTCAAGTTGCATTCTGTCGTGCAAACCCTACCGCTGGCTGCAGAAAAGACCCAGTTTGTCACCCTTAGAGGTGTATTATTTTCGTCTTTCCAACAAAAAT